ATATATTCATTACTGCACATTTTCTTCCCATCTCTTCTCCTTCCCCTAGCCCACCCCACAATACACCCCTTCTTCCAGATTATTCTGATACATAAAATGCATAATCATAGATTCCTTTCAAATAGTTCTTTGCCTCACCTGTCCTAATGCAGTGTTCATTATCTACCCACTCTTTCCACAATCCCTCTCCGACCCCCACATGTCTGAAGAGATCCTTGACAGTACATTTTCCCACTGCAGCAAATCTTTTGACTTCTTGACTGCTTTTAACCTTGAGTGTTGATTGTGCATCCAAGTAAAATGGAATCCTTGACAATTTCTCTTCTCCATCTAGCAGGATGTTGCTTATTGGTCTCAAGCTAGATGCTTCACCAGTTGACACACCCTAGGCCAGAAGAAATACTACCCATGACCTGGCTTGCATCTTGCTGCTGTCACCACTCAGGTGACAAATTAGAATCCCTAAGCTGACTGGAGCCCCCAACTCCGGTCTTCTGCTGGGCTTTCAGATACACTGTACAAGGCCAGACACTTTGTTTTCTGTTTCTTATAGTGTGGGTATTTGTATTATGATATTTGTATTCTTTTTTTTAGCATTTACTCTTATGTGTACAACATTTATATATCACTTTCCTGTATGAGAAAGGAGGAGATTTACGTCTTCCCGTGATCCTGCTTTTTTATATTTTGTGTGTAGGTAAGCTTGCTTGTTTATCATTTGCTCTTACGCACACAGCACTTGTCTGTCAGTTTGCTGTAACTGAAATAACTGGCCTGGTGCTATGATACTGGAAGCCATACCATCAGTACGTCACATACCAGTAGGCTCACTCACAATGAACAGCTGTCAGTGGTGCATCCAGACTAAGAAAGACTAAGTAGAACTCCTGAAGTAACAGGACTTCAAAAATTTTATAAAAATAATAACAACAAGGAAGCTCTGGTGGCCTGGCGGCAAGAAGCTGCACTGCAATCCCAGAGGTATGTGGTTCGAATCCACCAGATGCTCTGCTGCAGAAGGAGGGGCAAGTTCCTCCTTACCAGTCAGATCTGATATGACGGTACACAAAAAATAATAAAAGTTTTTAGACAAATGAATAATAGCAACATTGTTAGATATAGTACTGGATGTGGAGCCCCCCAGATTGGAAGGCACAAAAAAAAATGAGGAGCAGTAAATGCAAAATCCATTAATAATCAGACCATGGAATGTATGATGGATGAATGTGAGGAAAATTGGAAGTTGTCAGAAATGAAATGGACTGCATAAAGATGGATCTGAGGTGAATTGATATTGGCCACTTTGTACCATCCAAGCGTAAGATCTGTTAGGCCAGAAATGACAAACTGAGGAAGAACAGTGTTAACGTTCATAGTCCAAAAGACCATTTTGAGATCTATCCTGAAGTACAGGTCTGTGAGTGATAAGATGCTATCCATACAAAGATCTTGTTGTGGTTTGCTGTCAAGTCAGAGCGACCCATAGCTGACCCTCCAGAGGATTTTCAGAGACATTAAATGACCTCGGAGGAGATTGTCCATCTTTCTCCCACAAAGCAGCTGGTGGGTTCGATTGCAGCACAGCTTCTTACCACAAGGCCACTGGAGCTAATATACGCAGTTATTGTTTGGTGAATGAGCATGTGAGTGAGTGAACAGTTTGGCTGCTTTTTAAATTGTTGTTGTGCACCATTGAGTCAATTCTAACTCCTAGTGACGGAGGACAGAATGGAACTGTGCTGTGGGATTCCCTAGGCTGTACCTTCATCCCGTGGAGCCATTGGTGCCTTTAGCACATGAACACCTCATCATGGGCCACCTAGACTTTTCGTTTTCTTTCAAGATGTGTCTGTCTTGATGATCTCATCTTGATGTCTTGAGAGTTCGCACTTCTGTAAGAGCGTTCTGGTACAAGGGAGTCTGTATGTAGAGAGTTGTGTGACTAACCCAAAAGGTTGAGTGTGTCCCTGGCTCGGACTGTCCGAATCCACCAACAGCGCCTCCATGGAAGAAAAATGGGAAGTCTCCTCCTGCTAATGGTTTACAGCCTCGAAAACTCAAAGGAAGGTCTTTGTGAGTCTGAACTGACTCGATGCCAGTGAGTGAGAGAGAGACAGGTATTCATCACTATGCCAAGGTCACAGCTAATGCAGGCAACGATTGTAACCTGGACGCCACTCCCATTTCCAATTCCAAGTCCAGCTGGGAAGAGCCACACCATCCTTGAATTAGCAGCCTTCCTCAGCCACTGTTCTAATAGCCCTCATTGGAAACTACTTTGCATTTATGACAGATCTTCGTCTGAGCTGCTTCTCAAAACAATAGCGCCTCTTAGCAGCTCTCATATTGTTTATTATAATTGTTCCAAGTACTCTTATTGCTGATTGTAAAAGTGGCAAGCACAGAATGAAAAAGACTTCTCAAACAAACATCACCAGACCCCATCACCTAGCAAGGCGAACGTCCTGTCTCTCTCTGTATTTCACTCAAGGTCTTGTCCACAGGCACACGTCAGTATGCATGTTGATGTCACGGGAGCACATGGTATCATTTTTTATGCACTGTTTCCTGTTAGAATTTCCTTCCCATTCGGGGCCAGAGATGTCATAACTACGTTTTTAATGACTCCATTATCCTGTGTTGGGTGGGCATACCCAAATTTACTTAGAAAGTGACCCCTGGTGTTTGTCATTTCTGAGTTTGCACCAGGCTCTGCCCCTGCCCTGGGCTTGTTGGCACATAGCGTGTTTACAGGCTGTCAGCTGCCCGGGGCAGTACGTAGGAGCCTTGACCGTGTTTGTGCACCTCTCCCTGAGTTCCTGCACAGGCTGACCCAGCTTCTGTCCCCAGCGGCTTATCTGTTCACCACTTTCAAAGCAACCTCCCCATTCAGGCGGCCACTTAACTGTGGTGTTTGCTCACTTATAGAAGTCCATTGGCACTTCGGGGTTGCTTTATTTGCCACCACTTTGATGATTGGAGAGATTACTGTTTCCCCGCGTGATTCAGCTTTCGCCTTCTTGCTTCTGAGCTGTCTGCTTCTATTTCTGCTTCTTGGCCCATGTCAGTCGACTGGGGTCTTGACTCTTTTACATCAAACCAGCTGAAATCTTCGCACGCAGCAGCTACTGAACTTTGTCATCTTTGCACCACATACCTCCCAGTGCTGTGTCTGCCTTTTAATTCTAGGGATGCATTTGTAACGCAGTGATTTTTATTTCTGTAATCAAACTGCCAAGTTTTTTTGGTGATTTCTTACCCCCCTTTTCTTTCCTTCAAGGCAAAGGCAGTCATTCTGGAGTGCTCATAAATATTTAACTCTACCTTCTGTTATTTTTAATTCCTTAATTCACCTGGGTTGTGTGCTGTTATTGTTGTTATCTGCCACTGGGTTAGAACCGACTTATAACTGGCAGATTTTCAGAGGCTGTAAATCACATAGCAAGTGCTTGTCCATCTTTCTCTCGCAGAGCAGCTGGTAGATTCGAACCACTTGCTTTTGGATTGGCTGAGCGGTGCCTTACCACTAAGGCTCCAAAGCCCCGTCATCTGAGTAGTTGTTGAGTGCCCTTGAGTCAGAACTGACCCATAGCTGACCATCCAGTGGGTTTTCAGAGGCGGTTAATTACCTGAGAGGAGACTGCCTATCCTTCTCTTGTGGAGTAGCTGGTGGATTCAAACCACGTGCCTTTGGGATTGCAGCACAGCTTCTTTTTTTTTTTTCTTTTCTATATTTTATTAATTTTCATAAACATTTACAGAGATTTTGGGTTTCCATTCATTCATTGTTGCACTATTCTCTCTACCCTCCTCCCAGTTTGTTCTTGTCCAAATGCCACAGTGCTTGTCAAAGCCAGTTCTGATTAATCTTCTTTGTCAGTGTGTCCTTTGCCATTCCCTATCACTCCTCCCTGAGAGAGACTTCACCCTGAGTCATAAGGAAAAGGGGATGGCATATTCTCTTAGCTACTTCCTGCTGAAAAGGGACGCTGTGGGTTTCAGGGTGAAGATCTTCTCTCACTACTCTAAAGGGCCCCTTTGGCAGTAGGAAACACATAGACTATTATGGAGATTGATTTTGGAATTCAGATGCACTCTTATTGATTGTGCTTGGCCGTACATGTTCATATCCTTGAAGATGTATCATGGGGGTGTTGCAACCTAGAAGACACAAATTTGACTAACAAGTTATAAGTACATGAGTCCAGAAATTATGGAAAAGTAAAAGAAAAGATTCTTTCATTGTTTTACAAACCCTCCCCCAGGTCCCCTCCACCATGTAGCCCTCGCTCTAGTCTCCTGTGATGACAGAAATACCTAGTTATATATCTCTTTTAAACAGTTTTCTCCCTCCTCTGTTTCAGTGCAGTATACATTATTGAACCCATCTTACTCAGTCTCTCCCCAACCCCAAGGACAGTCCCATTCTACAACAGTGGCATCATGTAATATTTGTCCTTTTGTGACTGGGATATTTCACTCAGCATAATGTTCTCCAGAGTCAACCATTTTGAATACTATTGCATGAGTTCCTTGTTTTTTAATGCAGCATAGTATTCCATTGTGCGAATATACCACAGCTTCTCTAGCCATTTGTTTGTTGATGGGCACTTAGGTTGTTTCCAACTCCTTGCTATTGTGAACAAAGCTGCAATAAACATGGGTGTGCATATATCTGCTTGGATGTCAGCTATGGTCTCTTCAGGGTATATTCCCAGTAGTGGAATTGCTGGGTCAAATGGTATCTCTATTTGCAACTTTTTGAGAAAGCGCCATACTGCTTTCCATAGGGGTTGCACCATTTTACATTCCCACCAACAGTGAATCAGGGTTCCAGTTTCTCCACAGCCTCGCCAGCATTTGGCAGCACAGCTTCTTACCACTAGGCCACCAGAGCTCCCTCAACTGAGTTGTCACAGGTATAAATTAAGTTGCAAATGAAAATGTCTTCCTAATTAGTGATCCCCACCTTTCCCCTGTTGTCTGATTGTCTTCCTCAGGAATAATACACCAGATGAAAGGGGACTATGACACGGCACTGAAACTCCACAAGACCCACCTGTGCATCGCACAGGAGCTGAGTGACTACGCAGCTCAGGGCCGGGCCTACGGGAACATGGGCAATGCCTACAATGCGCTGGGCATGTACGACCAGGCTGTCAAGTACCACCGACAGGAGCTGCAGATCTCCATGGAGGTGAACGACCGCGCCTCGCAGGCCTCCACGCACGGCAACCTGGCCGTGGCCTACCAGGCCCTGGGCGCCCACGACCGGGCCCTGCAGCATTACCAGAACCACCTGAACATCGCCCGGGAGCTGCGGGACATCCAGAGCGAGGCCCGGGCCCTCAGCAACCTGGGCAACTTCCACTGCTCACGGGGAGAGTACCTCCAGGCCGCCCCCTACTACGAGCAGTACCTCCGGCTGGCTCCTGACCTGCAGGACATGGAAGGCGAGGGGAAGGTCTGTCACAATCTCGGCTATGCCCACTACTGCCTCGGGAACTACCAGGAGGCCGTGAAGTACTACGAGCAGGACCTGGCCCTGGCCAAAGACCTCCATGACAAGCTGAGCCAAGCAAAAGCCTACTGCAACCTGGGCCTGGCCTTCAAGGCACTCCTGAATTTCAGCAAAGCCGAGGAGTGCCAGAAATACCTCCTGTCCCTGGCCCAGTCCCTGAATAACTCCCAGGCGAAATTCCGAGCCCTTGGTAACCTGGGCGACATCTTCATCTGCAAGAAAGATGTCAACGGTGCAATAAAATTCTACGAGCAGCAGCTGGGCCTGGCCCACCACGTGAAGGACCGGAGACTAGAGGCCAGCGCGTACGCAGCCCTGGGCACGGCGTACCGTATGGTGCAGAAGTATGACAAGGCCCTGGGCTATCACACCCAGGAACTAGAGGTCTACCAGGAGCTGAGCGAGCTGCCAGGCGAGTGCCGGGCCCATGGACACCTGGCCGCTGTCTACATGGCCCTGGGCAAGTACACTATGGCCTTCAAGTGTTACGAAGAACAGCTTGATCTGGGGCAGAAACTGAAGGACCCAAGCCTCGAGGCGCAGGTGTATGGCAACATGGGCATCACCAAGATGAACATGAATGTGATGGAGGAGGCCATCGGCTACTTTGAGCAGCAGCTGGCCATGCTGCAGCAGCTCAGTGGTAACGAGTCGGTGTTAGACAGGGGCCGGGCCTACGGCAACCTGGGGGATTGTTACGAGGCCCTGGGCGATTACGAGGAAGCCATCAAGTACTACGAGCAGTATTTATCTGTGGCCCAGAGTCTGAATCGCATGCAAGACCAAGCCAAGGCTTACCGGGGTCTGGGAAATGGACACAGGTGAGAGTGACAGGGGACAAATGTGGGTGACAGGAGGTGCAAGAAAATAGCAATAAAGGCGATTTCAGGTCTGCGTGGCAGTTGATTAACTACAAAACATTTTCATTCTCAATATTCATTCTAGTCCCACAGTGATGATAGCATTGCCCTTGTCTCGGGAGGTGTGTTGCTGGTGCAAAGTTAGCACCTCTGGTAGTTCAAATCCACCAGCAACTCTCTGGGTTAAGGTTGGGCAGTCTCTTTCCGGGTGATTTCAGCCTCCTGAAAACTCCTTGGACAGTCAGCTATGAGATGTTTTGAACTTGACAGTAATGAATTTCATTATTGCCCTCATGTTACAGAAGAAGACATTGGGCCCAGAGAGGTTGAGTAACCAGCCCAGGATGACACAGTTTAACAGAACCAGCTGGGCATCAGACCCAGGCCTCTCTAACTCCAAATGTAATGCCTCTTGACAGGCAGGTTGAAAGAGTGAGAATCACAGAGGTGTAGGAATCAATTGAAAGGATTTTTTCAGAACGGTTTTCACATTAATTAAATTTGCTCAGTGACACACCATCTACTCTCACCAATTCTTTTGACTCCTGAAAGCATTTCCTAAAAGCATTGTGTGCTTTTAGGAAAACTCATCTGGTAATGTTGCTGTTCTTTAGTACCACTGAGTTGGAACCAAATCAGAGCTGACCCTCGAGAAGGTTTTCAGAGGCTGTAAATCGCATGGACGGAGATTGCCCATCTTTCTCCTGTAGAGCAGCTGGTTCAAACCACCTGCCTTTGGGCTGGCAGCTCAACTCCCTACCCACTAGGCCCTGTCTGATAATGGGTCGAGGAGGGACTTGAATAAGCACATATTGTGCAGCAGGCAGTGTGCTGAACACTTTGCACACGCATCTCATGTCGTATTGATAGCCTTTCTGGGTCATCATGCAACCATCATCTGCTTCTGGGGTGGGACTTACCATTCAGGAGCTGAGGTCAGGGAAGGTCAGTCAGGAACCCCCTGCACTGGTACAGCCTGCCCCCCAGAACACCCCTCTTATCCTGTCATCTCTTAATGACACAGAAAGACACACTACCAGCCAAGGAAGTGCTTTTCTCCCAACTGCGGAGGACTCCAGGCAGATGTCCATGTCTGCAGGATATACGGCCTGTCCAGACAGGAAGAGGGTGAGGGCTCCCAGAGTGGAGCCAGGGCCAGGGACAGGCTAAATCATTGCTCACAGAGTGCTCGGAGAGGCTCGGGGTGAAAGATTTACACTCCTTGGAAAGTGATTTAAAAAAAAAAATCCTCGAAGCGGTGGTGGAAATTGGGAGCTTGAAGAATCAAACAGCTCACTCGCCATCATCGTGCCTATTAATATATTTTATGTTTCCGCTGAGGTGTAGATCCCATTGACTCCCGCACTCCTGGGAAGGTCACTGAGGGATGCCTTTTGAATTGCTTTCCAGATTATGAAATCCCCCTGCATCTCACTCTTAAGGGCACATGATAGATTTTAGCTAGAAGAGGAGTTAAGAGCTTCTATAGTAAATGACAGTGACAAATGCGTTTCATTTTCTCAGGGGCTTTAGCGCGTCTACACCTGCACGAAATAATATCATTGCTTCTCTGTCCGCCTCCCCACAGGGCAATGGGGAGCCTGCAGCAAGCCCTCGTGTGCTTCGAAAAGAGGCTCGTAGTCGCCCACGAGCTGGGAGAGGCCTTCAACAAGGCACAGGCCTACGGCGAGCTGGGCAGTCTACACAGCCAGCTCGGGAACTATGAGCAAGCCATCTCCTGCCTGGAGCGCCAGCTCAACATCGCCAGGGAGATGAAAGACCGGGCCCTGGAGAGCGATGCTGCCTGCGGCTTGGGGGGCGTCTACCAGCAGATGGGGGAGTACGACACAGCCCTCCAGTACCACCAGCTTGACCTGCAGATTGCAGAGGAAACTAACAACCCCACGTGTCAGGGCCGAGCCTACGGGAACCTGGGCCTCACCTACGAGTCCCTGGGCACCTTCGAGAGGGCGGTGGTCTACCAGGAGCAACACCTGAGCATCGCTGCCCAGGTGAACGACTTGGTGGCTAAGACAGTGTCGTACAGCAGCCTCGGGAGGACCCACCATGCCTTGCAGAACTACTCGCAGGCGGTCATGTACCTGCAGGAAGGTAGGTCCAGGTGTGGGCTCTGATCACGATCAAGGTCTAGTTCACTCAAAAGGTAGTATACTTCTGAGGCCACCTTGGCAGTCCAGCTCTCAAGCTCTGGTCTGTTCCTAACACTAAGTTGTTTCCTTGGTCGAGAACACCTTGCCTGTTCTTAGCCTGACCCAGGCTGGCTTGCTCCCACTGTGACAGTGCCTTCTGCTAGCCAGCTGCACAAAGAGCTGGCTCCCTTGCTTTTTCCAGCCCTCTGCTGGGCGAACAACCCAGTGTCACCCAGATAATTAAGGAAAAGTGAAGTTCATAGTCCAAAGCAGAGAAAATGTTTTCCAGCTCTGAGCTCTAAAAGATAGCAAAATGGTAGAGAAAGCAGTTCTGACAAGGCGACAGTGGTCTCATCCAGAAACTTTGGTCTGAGGGTTATTGAAGCCCCTGAGCTGGCTTCCTGTCCAGGGGTGATGGGACTGGTGCCATGGGAAGTCTTCCAGGAAAATCCTGGAGCTGGTTGCTTCCCACCATGCAGGCAGACCTTTGAAGCTTGTCCTCCTCTCCAGAAACAGAAGGCTCACTGCAGTGCATACACACACACACACACATCTTTGTGTTGCTTGGGGCCACTGCTCCTGACACAGGCACACTGGGACCTCCTAAGCTGCAAGGGAGGGAAAGAGAGGCTGCCTCACAGCTCACCCGTCAGATAAAATGGGGCTGAATTCAGGCCAGAATTCTCATTAGTACTTTCCAAGGGCACCAGCAGAATTACATGCAATAGAATGCAGATAGATTTGACTTCTTATTTGTTGTTAGTAATGCTGAGTCGATTCCAAATAGAATTGACTTATTGTTAGTTGCTGTTGAGTCAAACATGACTTACAGTGGCTCTGTGAACAACAGATCTGAACCTTGTCCCCATACTATGGCATCCCCACTGCCTCTGATAGTCTCAAGGCCACTGATGCAATCTTTATGTAGATCCCTTGCTGTCTTCTCTTTCTCTGACCTGCCACCTTCCACAGCATGGTCTAACTTAATCCTCACAAACCTGAGATGTGCATCTTCTTTGTCCCGTTTTATAGTCAACTGTGGCTCAGAAGTACAGTGATTTGTCTTTAGCCATGTAGTCCATTCAGCACTGGAGTGGGGTCCAACCCAGCCTTTCTGACCCCAGGAATCACTCAGGACCCTAATCTTGAAAGTACAGGGCAGATGTGAGCAGTTTCTGATCTCCCTATAACTACTCCTGGGCCTTGGTAGGAAGTGGAAGGAGGAGAGCAGGAAGCAAGGCAGAAGGTGGACAAGTAGTGAGAAGATACTGTTTTTCCCTTTGCACAAAACAAAGAAGAGGGATCTGCAGGCTGAGATGTTTTGAGAAGCCGGGAGCCACTTCCCAAGCCACATCTGGCTCTACCGGGGCCAGGTGATAACTCTGTGCTTCAGCTATGAGTGTTGGCATTCAGCTTCCTGAAATTCTGCTGGTGAAAGTCTGCCGGCACCTCGTTGCCGTCGAGTCAGAACAAAGTCATAGCTGACCCTCTGTCCAGTGAGTTTTCAGAGCTGTAAATTTCATGAGAGGAGATTGACCATCTTTCCAACTGTTGGATTTGAACTGCCAGAGGCACCACGTATGGGTTAGTTGCATAGCCACCTTCCCACCAGGCCACCAGAGCTCTCTCTTGCTATATTGTTGTTAAGTGCCATCAAGTTTAGTATGACTCAAAAGGACCCTATGAACAAAAGATCTGAACCCTGTTCTATATAACTATTGCCATTTCTCTAATGTTCATAGAGTTTCCAAAGGCCTGTTGTTTAAGAAGTGGATGCCAATCCTGCTTCCAAGCCTATCTTAATCTGGGAGCTCTACCAAACACTGTCCACCATGCGTAACCATAATGGCATTTGACATACCAGTGGCACAACATTCAGTATCACTGCAACTCCAAGTTATCTCACTACAGCAAACCGACAGACAAGTGCTATACCACTTTGAACAATGTTCTTCCCAAACACAGTTAACACTAGGCAGCAGGCCCAAGGACCCAACCAACTTTTAAATACAAAGGCCCACCCACCAGTTGCTGATTGACTTAAACAAGAGTTTCCCAGCCCACAGCTGATTGTTAACTAAATCCAGGATGACCAATGAGCTTACACACAATTGTGAATGAAATAAAACAACCAGTTTATACACAACTTCCAACTAAATCAAGAGAACCTACCCTCCAGAATTTGACTCCTTCACACATGGGCCTTCACACATGGGCCTCCAAAGTGGAGCCCCTTTTGCTATACTAGAGGTGATTTTCAATTGAATTAGTGAAGTCTGTTCAACTCAGACTGTGTTCTTCTGTGGTGTCTGTAGTACTGTTTCCAGGGAGCAGCTGCTTCACTTGAAACAGAGTAGCATAACTGTGTTTACTGAAAACTGGTGAGTTCATCTGCATTGTTTGTTTGAATTCTCAGAGTCACATAAACAGATAGTGTCTACCTGGGCCTGCACTAGGGAATGTACAGCAAATGTCCTACCAGGAGACAAGGGCCAGCACTCTTTTCTGAATCAGAAACTGGTGAGGCCCAGGAACCCCTGGCAGTCCCTCGCCGTGCTCAGCTATGGCTCTGCAGCCACTTGAAGTGAAGGTGTCCTTGCTTCGAAGCTACCCCGAGCTGTCTCTCCTGGCCTGCGGCTGAGCTGACTGTAGCTTGGCCCGGCCTCACAGCATGCCAGAGTCATGAGAGTAGAGCCTGCTCTAAGTCTGGAGTCAGGTGGGACACTAAAAGTGAGAACTGCTTTTGCATCAGAACTGACTCATAGCTGACCCTCCCACAGATTTTTGGAGGCTGTGGATTGAACGTGAGGAGATTGCTTCTGTGGAGTAGCTAGCTGAGTGGAACCTCCTGCCTCTGGGATAGCAGGGCACCAGTGTTCCCTCAGGTTTGAGTGAATTTGAGTCCTTGCCTAAAAGTACTGGCTGTTTCCAGTTTCTCTTCCCCCCCGCCCCCATGAAGAGAGAAGTTTCTGGGTGGCACAAAGCTGTAGGTATGGCTGCTAGCTGAGAGGTTGACAGTTCAAACCTACTCAGAGATACTCAGAACAAAGGCCTGGTGATCTGCTTCTGAAAGGTCACAGCCTTAAAAACCTGGTGACCTTTGTACTATGCACACATGAGGCTGATACAAATAAGTCAGACTCGATTCCTGAAAACAGGTGCAGGCAAAGGAGGCTCCTAGCTCAAGTCCTAAGGGGCAGACCCTGATGGGGAGTGGGGCAGGACAGCTGCTATGTTTGTCCAGGTTTTAGCTGCTCATTGTCAAACCCCTAACTATGGTCCAGGAAGTCTCCCACACACAGATCAGACACCCCAGGGGGCTCACCTCACTGACTGACACCCCCAAACCTACAGGGTCATCTTTTTCAGAAAGTGAAGGAGGCTTACTTGCTGAAGGTTAAAACAACCAGTATCTTCTTAATTGCTCTCCACAGAACTGCCTTCTTATACTGGGGTCCCCTTTCTGCGAGGTGGTTTAAAAGTGTGACTAATTTGCAAGTATTATTTCTGTTACCCAGCGACAGGATTTAAAATTAAAATGCTCTTCCTAGGTTTTCTGAATTATGTACATTTTTTAAAAGCATCATATTTTGTGAACTTGAACCTGAGTTGTCATTATCGTCTCAAATGACGCAGGGCCTTTTCTGGGGGTCTGTGATTGCCGGGGTCCAACATTCTGAGGCAGGTCCCATCCACCATGAATGAACGCAGGAGGAGGCCCTTTCTTCCTGTGTCCACTGTTTTTATGCACAAGCTCACTCCCGTGGGTGGAGAGAAAGACAGCAAAGGGGCGTGATGCTGAGAACTGCTGGGTGCTAACTCCGGCCAGCGCCGGCTCTTAGCTTCAGGACCCAGGAACCTGAGACATTGCTCACCTTTCCACTCCCGTCAATTCAGTTCTGACTCATAACGACCTGCCATCATCAGGTTTCCAAGACTGAAGGTCATAATGAGAGGAGACTGCCCATCCTCCTCCCTGGGGACGGCTGGTGGATTCGAACTGCCAGAGACTCCAGAACTTTGAGTTAGCGCCACAACTTGCTACGGAATGCCACCAGAGCTCCCTGGTAGAAGTTGTTCAAAAAACATCACCATCAGCTTACAACTAACCTTTCAACTGTCTCTTCAGCGGGTTTTCGGGGAGGCATAAGTCATCCTGGAGGAGACTGCCCATCTTCCTCCCACAGAGCAGCTGGTGGACTCGAACCACTTAAGGTGTGCCACCTGTAGGTTAGCTGTGCAGCGGGTCAAAGGGCCTCGTGTCCCCAGTTCCAAAAGCTCGCTCCGGGTGCGTGACCCAAACTGCAGGCACCTATCAAAGGCCAGTAGACTAAGGATAGTTTTGCAACAGTGAATGAACTTTCTTTTTTTAAAGGGAACAAGGGGAAGGGCAAAGAAAGGGGGAATGTACAACAATGAAAGAATAAAAATCTAACTTTTCTGTAAATTTTCACTAAAATCAGTTAATTTTTAAAAAAATAAGAATAGTGTGATATTAGGTTTTCAGTTCATAATAGCGGTTGCTTTGCAATGCCGTAGAGACATAGCACAATCTCCAGCTTAAAGGAAAAGCCGATCAGACATGAGCCAAAAGTCCATAGCTGCCCTCTGAAGGCAGGGCCGGGCACATCAGGTGGCCTGCTTTTCAGAGCGCGTGCCTCCCCCAAATGCCAGTTGAGTGCTGAACGCATTTAAGGGAAAGGACCGTGGAACCTTTGAGAGCCGCAGCTCCACAGGGCTGCCTTGTTATTCCAAGGCTCTTTGTTTTCCACCTTTGACAGGCTACAGTCTCAGCACTTTCCGTTGCTCGTGTAACATTTCTGCCTCTCAGAGGTTTCCGCCTTACACAGCTATCACTGTATTATCTCAGCCTCTGAGTTCTGTCAGGGAATGTTCTTGTCAGCCAGTCAGTTGGACCTAGAGCTTTCATTTGCAAAGCTAAGGGTTTCCCAGTGGGGAAAGTGGCCAGGTGAGGATGTATTTGTCTCAGGGTTTCTGCCAGCCCTGCAGACCTGCCTCCTGCTGAGAGACAGCTGAGTTCTTGCTGGGGTTTCTTGAGTGTCTCAGAAAGGTCATTATCGAGACAGAGATTGAAGCAAATGTGTCCAGGGCCTGAACTGGCTCAGCTCATGTTCTGTGTTTAAGCTCCCTTTATATCCACCTTTGGTAAAACAAAACCCTTTGGGCCTCTGTCTTCTATTGTCATTTAAAATGTCTTTGTCTTTGATTTCAGGTCTAAGGCTAGCTGAGCAACTGGGCCGAAGAGAAGATGAGGCCAAAATCCGCCACGGACTGGGCCTTTCCCTCTGGGCGAGTGGGAATCTGGAGGAGGCTCAGCACCAGGTGAGCGGGAGAATCTCTGAGCCAGACAGAAGTTTCTAAAAGCAGACAAGAACTACAGAGAATATACCCTAAAGAAACCACCATCCAAACAGATACATCCACCGCCTTGTTTATTGCTGTATTATTTACAGTAGCAAAGAGATGGAAGCAACAAATGCCCATCAACAAATGAATGAATAGAAAAACTATAGTATATTCATACAATGGAATACTACACAGCACTGAAAAACAGTGAACTCATAAAACATTACACAACATGGGGGATCCTGGAGCACATCATGCTGAGTGAAATATCTCAGTCACAAAAGGACAAATATTGAATAGCACCACTGTTATAAAACAGGTCTGACTTTGAGTCTTGGGAGGAGAATAGGATAAGGATGGATAGATAATGACCATTGCATTGGAACAGATGAAAGAACTATCTAAAAGGAATACATGATTAGGCATTATACATACAACAACAGTCCAGAATAAGAAGTAAATCATTGCTAGGAGGACTGTCGGGGGAGGTAGGTAATTGTGCAATAATGAATGAATTTTTTTTTTTTAAAAAAGTGAACTGGCAGAGGGGGAAGGGAGGGGAGAGGGGGTTAAAATGTGGGTTAACACAACGATTGACTGAAAAATCTAACTTCTGTAAAAAAATAAAAATAATAGAAGCAGTCAAGAGTTGGGAGCTACCCTAAGGTGATGTGACATTTACCAGAGAGTGTTACCCTCTCTCTCGAGCTGGTGACAGAGTGCCAAGCCAATATCAGCCCAGAAGGGCCACAGCCTAAAAGATTCTTACTCCCTTCTGTGGTGGTGGTTGTTAAGTACTGTCAAGTCGTAGATGACTCATAGCAACTCTATGAACGAAAGACCTGAGCACTTGCATAACTTTCATTGTTTCTCTTAAGTTTATAGAGTTTCTGGAGGCAGACTATTTCGGAAGTGGATGCCACTTCTGCTTCCAAGCCTGTTTTAATCTGGGAGCTCTATGAAATACTGTCAACCATTTGTAGCCATTATGGCATTTGACATATCAGTGTCACAGTTAGCATCACAGAAACCATGAGTTACCTCTGTGTGTGTGCATGTGTAATATGTTGTTGTTATGTGCCTGCAACTCATAGTGACCTTATGTACAGCAGCCATAAACCCTGCTCTATCCTGTGCCAACCTCTGACACACCTACTCCCAGTCACCGAGTCAATCCATCTCATCCAGGGTCTTCCTCTCCTGCGCTGTCCCTCCACCCTCCAAAGCATGATTTCCCTCTCCAAGGGCTGGTCGCTCCTTGCAACATGTCCAAAGTATCAGACAAAGCTTCAAAATCCTTTTCTCCAAGGAGCCCTTCTGCGCTGGATTTCTGAATAATTTCTGTGGAATTACTTTGTTATGGGCTGCGGTTGCTCATTAAACCTTAATATGACATAGCACATATTTCATGATGGACGTAAGCAACCCAGGAATTCATTTAATTCATGTTGCCTTTAACGGCCTTGTAGATTTCTGCTTCGATCAATAGGCATACCTCCCCCATCTTCCCTTTTCCCCTCTCTCCCCGCCTCCCTCTCTCCCGCTCACGCAATAAGTTCATCTTTCAGTATGTATACAAATATTTGAAGTCCATTACCTCGCTGGCTCTGGAGATTAGAAAGATACCTAGAGCTATGCTCTGGTAGGCTGGAGGAATCGAAGGTGGCCACATCTAAAATTACACACTCGTCCGTTTAGTCAGCATAAGAGTAATTACTGTAGAGGGGACGGTGCCAGGCAAAGGAGAGGTGAGAGGAGGTAAATCAAAGCTGTTCTCCTGTGTCACAGGAATTTAGGACTTGATAGGACAGAATTTGTGCCACAGCATGCTGGAAAGTTATAGCGTCTCACTGTACTTTTCAAGCCATTAAAGGCAATTTGAGAAATTAATCCTCTAATTCCAGGCTTAAAGCAGCATAGTGATTAACAATGTTCAACGTACGTTTTACTGAATGTATTCTTCAGCATAACTCTGTAAGATGGGATGCTGGCCACTCTCTTTATCAGGGGCTTGGAAACTGACCAAACGCCACCCAGCAAATTGGTGGCACGGCTAGAAGAAATGCCTTGCTCCCAGCCTAAGTCTCTGCGCCTTTGAATTGCATTATCATTTAATTTGCAGAAGCTTAGAATTGGACAGAGTTTGCAGCATAGACTTCTCAGAGCCTAAACAGTGGTAGAGAAGCCACTTAGTAAGGCAACAGGGCCGTGTCTCTATTAGAGATGTCACATGCCCAGTCCTGAGGGAGTCTGTCGTGGTGAGCGTGACACTGGTGTGGCCAGGCCTCCTGGGGAGCTTGTCCAGGAATGGCCTAGCCATGGAACTGTGCTGCCTATAACAAAATGCATCCCGAGGGTCACTTCCAGTCGCCTTCCCTCCCAGCCCCATTGTTTCTAGAAGCCCTCCACCAGACCTGTCCACACTCTAGGCCCCACTATAGTGAGCCCTGCATTGTGAATAACAGTCATTTGATGACTTGCTGAGTTCCAGTCAAAACTAGCACTTTGATGAATTAAGAGGTGATTTATTTAGAAAAACACAACAAAAACAGAACACAAAACAGACCTTAAATCTATCTTTCAATCATGAGTCTGTAACCTCTGTCTTCTAGACCCCTCTAGCTGTCAAGAATTGACTATAGAAGCCATCATTTGCAGGGTCGAATCTTTTCAGATCCATAAGGATACACCTGGGAATAGAGATTGTTGTCGTTGTTGTGTACTGTTGAGTCAAAACCGACCCATAACTGATCCACTGGCGGGTTTTCAGAGGCAGTTAATTGCATGGAAGGAGATTACCCATCCTACTCCCTCAGAGCAGCTGGGGGATTTGAACTGTGTGCCTTCAGGATTGCAGCGCAGCTTCTTGCCACTAGGCCACCATTATTCCCGATGGGAATAGAGATTAATCCTGCCAAACTTTAAAAAGGAAAAAAAAAATTCTGTAGCTTGACCACCAAGACTTGAGAAAGTTGTCTGTGAGTCTGCAGGCAGCTCCTGGATGGGTCTCAGGTAACAGCTGGCATTCTGTGTCTCCCTGCAGCTCTACCGGGCGTCGGCCTTGTTTGAGACCATCCGGCACGAGGCGCAGCTGAGCACCGACTACAAACTCTCGCTCTTCGACCTGCAGACCTCGTCCTACCAGGCCCTGCAGCGGGTGCTGGTCAGCCTCGGTGAGGACAGCTGGGGGGGTGGCCAGTGTGCACCTGCGCACCAGGAGGGGCGGGGTCAGGTCGCTCAGCAATTGCTGCGATAAGATGGAACCGGTTACTACAGCCTGGGAAACAACAGCCACAATCCGGTCTCTGAACATTCACTCATCTCTTCAAGCTCAGGAGTATCTACTCTACTGACATTGGTGTTGTGAAATAGGGAATAGACCCTGGCTCCTGCCCTCGGCGAGTTCTGGGTGTATTGATGTGGGCCAGTGAGTCTAGACAGGGTGGGAGGAGCGAGGGAAGAGCGTATGACTTGCTGTGGCTGCCAGGCGGCTTGGGAGGTTGACCCAGGAGGCAGACAGGTCCCTCCTGACGGGATGACCTGGGGACACAGTGCTTAATCCAGTTAGGACAGAGGACCTGTGAGGGACAGAAAAGGAAGCAGGAGACTGTTGGCTTGCCCAGAACTCTTTTCTGAGAGGCAATAGCTGAGAAGAGGCCCAGCCTCTTTGCAAGTTCTCCAGTCACACATCTGCCCAGCAAATGTACCAACTTCCGCATCTGCCCGTTAGGTGAGGCGTCGTCTGTGGGACACTCCTCAGCCTGTGTGATGGCAGCTCTGTGTGTGCTGGTGGCGCTGGCACAGTGTGCATCTCCCAGCCCCCATCCTCTGCCTCCTCCCAGCACCCCCAGCCCTGCCTTGAGGAGATGCCCACTGGGGCAAACTGGTGCCTTTGAAGGTGAAAGCCAGTAGCTTCCAGGGCGTGAATCCTCAGGCTCCCCCTTGGAAAGCGTTGTCTATGGAGTGTGTGCATTGCCTGGGATTTACAATTTATTATCTATTATAATCACAGTGTTAAGCTGTCTAGCACTTTGGGGCCAATTTTCCAATGTGCATAGAAATGGTCCCTGCTGTTTCAGTTAATAACTTAATAGAGGAAAAGAAGGCATTTGCATGCACACACAGAAGGCCTCACGTTCACCCGCTACCCAAGCTGCAGGGTGGCAGGTGCCCTAAAGGGGCCCCCTCCCTCTGCCCAGCCCCTCCGACCCTGGTTCTATTGGCCGGTGTATCTGTTCAAGCCACAAGCACACAGATTAATCCACCACAGTGCTTTCCCGGCACACAGTCCTCACCTTAAACCCTGTGCTTTTATTCTCTATGCTTTCATAGTTGTGCATGTTTTTGAACTAGATTCCCTGCGTGTTTCTTAGAGGAAGGAGATTTGAGATTGAGCTGAAAGGCAGAGGCAAGCTTTGCCAGGCAGTGAGAGGGGCTGGGGGTGGGGGGTGTCCAGCAGCAGGAGGGTCTGTGTTAAGGCATGGAAGTGTGATGGGGAGATGTGGAGCGAGGTGGGCGGAGCAGTATGACCCATGTGCCAGGGGGTTCTTGTCTGCCAGTGCTGAGTCAGAACAGACGTAGAGTGTCAAGTCTAACATGCCAAGGGGACAGGGTGTGAGGGGTCAGAGGTAAAGCCAGAAGCAGTCAGCATGTGGAGCAGAGATGGGCGAGCTCTGGGGAACACTCTCAACGAGGTCAACTCCATCAGCTGCAAACAGGAGAAGGCCCAATGACTCAGGGGGTGCGGTCTGCATATAAAAATGTGGGAGAACTTTATGCTGAGTGAACTAACTCTGTCTCATGAGGACAAATACTGCATAAGACCATTGTAAAACCAGAAGGATCACTAGTAAGATGTGTAAAAAAAGTCTGCAAGGAGAAGGGGAGGGGTGGAAGGGCTGAGGGTGGAAAAGGGAGAAAGTCACAAGGTCGCAGATTTTATGGGCAGAGGGAGGGGATGAAAGAATAAGGAAAGATCCAGGGGGACCTGAAAAGACCAAGTAATAATACTATGCAGACTTCAGTGGTGATTCATTTTATAAAACACAGTATATGGGAATGATCGTTTGAAACACAATAGGAATGGAAGAATGTGTGGAACAGAGCATATAGGAATGAAACACAATGTTTTTGAACAAAACACAAGGGAAATTTTGTATGCAAACCAATATAAAATAAAAAGGATTTTCTTAAAAATGTGAACTTGTAAGAAACGGGGAGCTGGATATGAAACCGTAGCCCTGGGACCCTGTCCACTTAGGAACCTGGAGGCAGTGAGGTTTCATGCATGCCCTTCTCTGTCCTGACTAGGAATGCTCACAGAGACCCCCGTTTACACACACCTTACCTGTGTCTCTCAGGGCACCATGATGAAGCACTGGCCGTGGCAGAGAGAGGACGGACCAGGGCGTTCGCTGACCTCCTGGTGGAGCGCCAAACAGGACAGCAGGACTCCGACCCCTACTCCCCGGTCACCACGGATCAGATCTTGGAGATGGTCAACAGCCAGAGGAGCCTGGTGCTCTACTACTCCCTGGCCGCGGGCTACCTGTACAGCTGGCTGCTGGCCCCCGGGGCAGGTGAGGCCTCAGAACTGGGGAGGACTGATGAGAAGGGGTGGGAGCGGGGGCTTCACCCCAGCTCAGGCTCAGTCACCCTGCTCTGGAACACTCTGTGTGAGGTGTTGGTTTCTGGTAGCATCCCGCCACGGTGATTGTCCCACAGCGGACATTGAGTTCAGAGGACAGCCCCCTGCAAGTCTCCACAGCTTGCTGGCAAGAGTGGGCACCTTTATCTGGGACAACAGAAGGGTCCCTCTCACCGTTGGTGCTTTTTGTAGGCAGCTGTTGTTCATTAGCCCCTACAGTGACGACAGCAAGTCCTAACAAGGTCTCTCTTGCACAGAGGATTTCATAATTGGGATCCTTTGTTAAGGCAAAGTTACAGAGAGGAAAAGGCTAACGGCCACCCTGTCACAGTATTTAAATAGAGCCTTGCAATGTCTACCTTGCCTAGCACCCATTTTAACCCATTCTGTGATCAGTCTGCTTCAGAAGTAACCCCCTTTTTGATCACATGGGCATTAAATGTTCAGGCTGTAAGCAGTGCCACTAAATTCAGACCTGCTAATTAGCTGTGAGAGCCATATTTTTTTTGCATGATAAAGCACCAGTGGCTTCTGCCATGTTGGCAATGCATCAGCTATTAGAGTTTATCGACCAGGGAGGTGGTGGGTCTGATCACTGGGAGTCTGGAAGATGGGGCTTCTTGAATATCCATCCTTAAGGCAGTTTCACCAAGTTCAACAGAGAGAATCAATGCCATTTCATTGATTATGTGCCTGTCCCTTTAAGTTAAAAAAAAAAATACAAAATACCCCACAACTTTTTTAAAGGTAAGCGCTGCTGCTTCTTAGATTCTGAGCACATTCTCTTCCTCTCACTTATTCAGTATAAACACCTCCCTCCCCTCGTGATTGCATGTTCCGTATAAATCATGATTCTAAATCATGATCTTTCTTGAGGAATTGGTTAACAATTGCCGCAGTGAAATCCCTCCTGTTGTATCACAGTTTCCAAGGTTGGCATCGATATGAGTGGTCGATAGCTGGGGTCTCCAGGTTTTTTGGCCTTTTTTTTTTCTCACTGTGGCTGGTTGGTTTAGGGGACATGACTTGACAGGTGCTCTCTCCAGATCCCTGTAATAATGAGCTGTGTTTAATGAGGTTCTTATTGTTTGCTTTTCGGTTCCTCTGCTTTTAATGAGGCTCTGAAGCCTTCTCCGAGGCTCTGATCCAATCAGGGAGGACTCTCCCCACCTGGAGCTGACATATCTCATTTCTATGTGAGAATATCCCGTGTTTAATGCCAGTAAGCCAACAGGGATCGTCTCTGCTTCAACCAGCCATCACTCCCCGCCCCTCCTTATCCATTAATGATCTTCGACTAGGGTTAGTCTTGTTTTTAAAATGGCTAAAGATGCTTTTTATCTGGTCTTTAAACCATATATTTCTTTTCCATTTACTTTTAGAAAAAAAAAAAAGGATGGTTTCTTAACATAATTTCTAGTTGGCCAATGGTGTTTTTGTTCAAGATTTCCAGATACCCTTTGGCAAACTCACACAGTTCCTGGAAAGAAGGCTTTTTTTCTCTTGGTTGGTGCTTCTGAGAAGCATCTCTTTTGAAACATATATGTAGTAGTCACCATTCCAGAAGCTTCCGGCTGTCTCTTGAAAAACAAAAGCTAAATCCTAAACTCCCTGTCTCCAGGGACCAAAGCTGATGGTAGAAACCATGCAGAGGATTCTGAGCAAGCCTCCGAAAGCCCTCTTGGGACGCGCATCTGAGGGTCTCTCTTCACCAGGTGTGGGGGTGGCATGCTGGGAAGTCATACGACATTGACACTTGTTTCCTTCTGAACTATGTGTAATGTCAGCTCTGCCTGTCCGGTTTCAGGAATTCTCAAGTTTCATGAGCACTACCTGGGTGACAGCACAGGGGACAACCCCAGCGACTTCCAGATTGGCAGTAACGCGACCCTCCCGACGACCACCAGCTCAGCCCTCGAGCAGCACATCACCAGCGTCCGGGAGGTCCTGGGCGTGGAGTCTTACTATGCCAGGTAGTGAACATTCATTCCCAAACCAGCTTTCTGAGGGATCTTTTTGTTTGTTTGTTTCAAATGACTATCCAGTTTGAGCTATTGTTATGTCCCATCAAGTGGGAACTGACCCATAGCTGACTCTCCAGCAGATTTTCAGAGACAGTAAATCACACAGGAGGAAATTGCCCATCCTTCTCCCACAGAGCAGCTGGTGGATTTGAACTGTGTGCCTTCAGGTTGGCAGTGAAGCTTCCTATCACTAGGTCACCAGAGCTCTGTGTTAGAGCTAATGGGAAGAATCTTTAGAAATGTTCACTTCAATGCTCAGTCTACCCAGGCAGCCAAAAGAGATGTGTGTCCCTGGAGAGCAAGGCCCTTAGTGGGCTGTGTTCATGCTTCCTGGTCATTTTCCATCAGACAAGGAAGCAAGGGCCTCATCAAATTTACCCGTTCACTAAAGGTTCACAGACTTTTAAACAGAAGCATCATTTGGCCTTGAACACAGCAATTAATTATGATCAAGGTCAGGGGTTTTTTGGTTATAAGCAGATTCACTGTGAGTCTATACTGAAGCCAAAAGGCCTGCTAAGCACTGGTGACAGTGTCCAGGGACAGAGGTGGGCACTAGGACTGGGGATGAGTGGGAGGAATTTGAACCCCCAAATATTGTGAATAAAGATGGAAGCATCTTTTTACAACCATTAGAAACTTAAGAAAACAGTGTGTTTTATCATAATATAGGCTCTTTCACAGATAGGAAATGGTTTCTGCAAAGGTTCTGAGTCTGGGAAAATCAAGAAATGAGGGTCACTTGGGCATAAGCAGACTTCCCTACACTCCGTCATCTACTTGGTGGTGAAGAAGCTTCAGTTGAAGAAGCCCTGTTGGTCACAGACTGTGTTGTATTAGCTGATGTCAGGCTCTGAGAATGTCTGCTGTCTTCTGGATGTCACTGTCCGTGATCCTCGCAAACCTGAGGGGTCCCTGTAGTTTCTTTAGAGAATACTAAACCCTGACTCCTGCGGGTGTGGAGGCCCTGCCAGCAGCTGACCTCCACTTTGGAGCTGAGAAGGCTTTGTGTGTTGTCGTTGTTGCTGTTGTCATTAGGGGTTTTTTAGTTCAGTTCCTGTGTTGAGCCATCCGATGAACAGTAGGTCATATGAACAGCTTGATGAGCAAAGAAGGAAACATTAGGTGTCAGGTGACCAAACTACTGAGGAGCAGTGGTGTCAGTGTGAGGACTACGGCGCATGTGATTCAGGCCATGGTCTTTCTGATCACTCATTCTGCATCCGAGAGCTGGGCAATGAATAGAGATGACAGAAGAATTGATGCCTTTGACCTGTGGTGTTCTGTACCGACCTCAGTCTCCTCCTTTGCTCAAGCTGTTGCTATCACTGTTTGAGTCCATCTCTGTGAAATCAGGAAGGGGTCCTTGGGTGAAAAATCATCATCAAATCATATGAGGCCAAGATTGAAAGGGTCCGCAGTGGTCATGCCACCTCACCCCTCATTTAATGAGAGCTAGTGCTGGCTTGGGACTTACCAACCAACAGCCACGTTAGTGACAGAGCCCACATCCGGAACTCATGCAGATGGCCAGGCCAGCACTTGTTCTGTTTTTAATTATCAAAATTAATATCATATTTTGTGAGACTGACCAGCGCATGTTAAGAATGTCATCCCCAGCTTCTGTTTTCCTGAAGAATGAGCCAGCACCAGCCACACGCACGCGTTCTGGTTTTATTTCTCCAGTGACTCCTGAGCATCCTGGATCTTCTTCACTCTTAACCGCAGGTGGTGGGATGGCACTAATGGGAGCTCAGCACTGTGTCAGCACAGGAAATTGTATGTGTTCCCTCTACGATTAGAAGGATACACGATGATAAAGGAGATTGATGCTGTTGTTGTTGGGTACCGTAGAGTTATAACCGACTCATAGCTGACCCTCCTGCAGGTTTTCAGAGGCAGTTAATCACACAGGAGGAGACCGCCCATCCTTCTCCCACAGAGCAGCCGGTGGACTTGAACTACGTACCTTTGGGACTGTATTGCAGCTTCTTGACACGAGTCTACCAGACCTCCCTCAAAGTAGATTACGGCACGGGGAAAGAAAGTAGATTAGAGAGAAGTTTGTAATGAAATTCCAAGAGACAGAAAAGCACCCAGGCCAGTGTAGTTAGAATGTGTCCTTTTTGTTGTGTACCGTCGAGTCAGAACCAATCCATAGCTGACCCTCCAGTGGGTTTTCAGAAACAGTTAATCGCGCAGGAGGAGATTGCTCATTTTTTTCCCCATGGAGCAGCTGGTGTATTTGAACCCCATGGCTTTGGGTTGACAGTGCAACTTCTAACCACTAAGCCCCCAGAGCTGCCCTACCAGGCATTAGATAGTGATGGTTGGCCAACTGTGGACCCACAAAAAAAGGCAAAGTGGATGTGAGCAGTGTCTTGGTGAAGTGTTTTCACCAGCAGCACTGTTGCTGTGCTGGGCATACGGCCATCATGTCCTCTCATCCTTCCCTCCTCCCCATTGGTGTTTGAGTGTCAGCTACAAATAAGGCCTTTTGCTAGAGATTGGGGTTGGAGGTGTGGGCAAGACCAACACCCCATGCTGAAAGTCAGCAGAGTCTGCCCAATATTTTTGTAAAAACTGTAATACAATAGATACATAAACAAAAACTCGGGGTGTAAGAAACACAGGTGGGAGAGTGTGTAACTTGTCAGGCTGCTGGTGAAAAGGTTGATGGTTCAAATCCATTAGTCATTCGGTGGAGAAAAATAGCAATCTCTTCCCATCAAGACTGACAGCCAGGAAACGCAAGGAAGGCTCACTGTGTGTTGGAATCAACTCTACGGCCGTGGGCTTGAGAGGTTTGCTAATTTTTTTCTTTTCAATGAGAATGTTATAAACAGGATGGGGAACAGGGAAACCTTTACAGGAAGTTGAGAAGTCTTTCCATGTGTTATTGTTGTTGTTGTTGTGATGATTCCGACTCCTAGTCACGCTGTGAGCAACAGGTAACCATCCTGCACTGTTATGGTCTCCACCATGCACAAGCCTATTGCTGCCGACACTCTGCCACTCCATGTGGTTGAGAATCTTCCTCTCACTTCCTCCACTTTTCCAAGCATGATGTCTTTTTCCAAAGACTGGTCCCTTCTGACAACATAAGCAAGATGTGAGGGGATATTTTTTTAATTGAGATTTTTTTTTTTAGTTTGGTAACAATTTTATTTTGCTTGAATCTGTAATCAACAGCCATCACAACAGCAATCAAGAAATTAAAAGAGGGAGAAGAGTAGGGGACAGATGAGCTGAGAATGAGGAGAAGGTGGAAAATCACAGAGTCACTGAATTTGGTGAAGGGAGAGGACAAAGTATAAAAGCAATGTGAATGAATGGAACAAATCATTATATGTATGTAAACCAATAATTTGTTTTTTTGGGTTTTTTTGTTTGTTTAATTGAGATTTTAATGAAAGTTTATAAATAACTTGGATTTCCAATTGTTCATTGTTGCACATTTTCCTCCCTGCCCCCACCCCAGGTGCTTTTTTCTTTTGGGGGAAAAAAGTTCTTTCATTATTACACAGTGTGTTCCCCCCACCCCAGACCACTTTACTATGCAGCTCTTATTCTGGATTCTAGTCATGCCAATAATGCCTAATTAAATATTCCTTTTATACAGTTCTCTCCCTCATCTGTTTCAATGCCATGTACGTTATTTATCCCCTCTTTTCTTACTTTCCACCCAGCCCCATATCAGTCCTACCCAGCCCCATATCAGTCCTATTTTATAACAGTAGCATTATGCAGTATTTGTCTTTTGTGACTGAGATATTTCACTCAGCATATTGTTCTCCAAGGTCACTCATTTTGTCTAATAATTCATGAGTTCCTTGTTTTTCATTGCAACATAATATTCCATTGTGTGAATGTACCGCAGCTTCTCTATGCATTTGTTTGTTGATGGGCACTTAGGTTGTTTCCAACTCCTTGCTGTTGTGAACAAAGCCGCAATAAACATGGATGTGCATGCATCTGCTTGGGTGGTAGTTATGGTTTCTTTAGGGTATATTCCCAGTAGTGGAATTGCTGGGTCAAATGGTACTTCTATTTACAACTTTTTGAGAAAGTGCCATAGTACCTTCCATAGTGGTTGTACTATTTTACACTCTTACCAACAGTGACTAAGGGTTCCAGTTTCTCTGCAACCTCGCCAGCATTTATTGTTTGCTGTTCTGTTAAATTTTGCTATTCTTACTGGGGTAAGATGATATTTCATAGTTGTTTTGATTTGCACCTCTCTTAGAGCTAGAGATTTTGAACCTTTCTTTATGTGTTTGTTGCCATCTGAATATCTTCTTTGGTGAAGTATCTGTTCATATTCTGTGCCCATTTATCAGTTGGGTTGTTTATCTTGTGGTGCTTGAGTATTTCATAAATTCTAGATATAAGTCCCTTATCTGACTTGTCATTACCAGATATTTTCCCCCAGTCTGTGGCTTCCCTTTTTACCATGTTGGAGAAGTTTTTGGATGTGCATAGGGTTTTGATTCTGAGACGGTCCTTTTCATCTATTTTATCCTCTCCTGGTTATAGGTTTTTCAGGATGCTTGGAAGACTGTTTATGTTGTGGATTAAGGCTTCTAGGGTTCTTCCAAGCTTTTCTCTAATGAAATTTATAGTCCTTGGTTTTAATCCTAGGTCCTTGATCCACTTTGAGTTGGTTTTTTTATATGGAGTGAGGTCTGGATCTTGCTTGAGTTTTTCTGCAGCTGGTTTTCCAATTTTGCCAACATAATTGGTTAAAAAGGCTGTCGTTTCTCCAATTAACTGATTCCATCTCCTTGTCAAAAATCTGTTGACCATATGTAGATGGGCTGATTTCTGGGTTCTGAATTCTACTCCATTGATCTAGTCTGTCATTGTACCACAGTACCACGCTGTGTTGACCACCACAGCAGTGTAATAGGATTTGAAATCAGGAGTGAAACGTCTTGTTTCTCTTTTTA